AAGGTGCTAGGATGCCTGCTTAACAGACGGCGGAACTGAGACCCAGAGGGGTCAAGTCTGCGGCAGAAGCAGACCCTGGAGGCCTCCGGGTTTTGGACCTCCTCTGCCCCATTGTCCCTGATTAGCCCGCAGGCGAGCCACGGCCTATGCCGAAGGAAGAACGTGCCTGGAGGAGACCCCGTTCGTTTCCGGGGTTCGGGTTCCCCGGGCTGGGCCCGGCTAAACCCCTCGGGCCGCCCAGGCACTGGACCCCCAGCCCCAGAGCCCCCTCGCGCGCTCACTTTGGGCTTGTCGAAGGCGGGTGTCTGGGCCATGATTCCCTCGTGCGCGCCGGTGCTGATCCCTCCGCCGACGCTCGGTGGGTCTCTGCAGGCTCGTGGGCCACTCAACTTTCCCTGGGGCCCCCGGTGGCCCGGCTGCCATGCTTTTCTTAACCGGGCTGGGCCCCGCCTCCTGCCCGCCCCCCTCCGCTCCGGGGGCCTGCCCCCCGCCCCGCCCTTGCACTGGAGCCCCCGCCCCGCCGGCCCGAGTCGCGCATTTCCTGGAATTCTGGAGCCGGCGTCCTCGCCAGCCGACCCGAAAACGCCGGCCCCGCGCGGCCCAACCAGACCCACCTGTGGGAGCTGCCTTACCCCCGGGTCCTCCAGCAACTTGCAAGCGTCCCCCTGCAGCCTGGGCGCTGCGGTGCGCCAGGCCCGAGCTGGAAGCGGGGACCCCGGGGGCGTCGCAAGCCTCCAGGGGCGTGCGTTCCACCGGATAGACGGGCGCTCGTCGCAGAAGTGCACAACATAATTTTATAGTAAGGGAGCTTTCGAGGGGGGCCAGCCGTGGCCTACAGAAACTGCAGGAGTTCACCAGGGGTGGGTGGGGGTGGAGAGGACATTCTGCGTGAGACTCCAGGGAGCTGGGAGTGAGAGGCGGCGAGGAAGGCTGGAGCACCGAGGGAGGGAGAACACAGACGAGCCCCACCTGGGCATTCGCCTTTAAGAAACCCGCCCAGGCGCAGCCAGAGACCTGCGCAGAATGTTCACACCGGCGCGATTCCGATTAACAGGAACTTTGGAAACACCCCCAAATGCCCCTCCACGGACGAGTGGGCAAATAAACCGGAATATTCACACCATGAAACGTTAGACCGCAGTGAAACGGAATGAACAGCCATACAACAACGGAAACGTTTCAGCCAGACAACAAGAGAAACAATGTCTCAAAAACAACGTTGAGTGAAAAAACTAAGATGCAGAAAACCGCATACAACGGTGCATCTTTTAGAATGTGTAATGCAAAACCAAAAGTTGCATGTTTAGACACATGCATCGGTGGAAAAAGTTTCACGCAAGGGAGACATGAGCATAGATACAAGAAAAGTGGTTACCTCAGGTGAAAGGGGAAGGAGCTGGGAGGAGGTAAGGACGGTGGGAAAGAACACCCGGCTACAGGTTATGTATTTATTTATTTATTGAGACGGAGTTTCGCGCCAGGCTGAAGTGAAGTGGAGCGATCTGGGCACACTGCAACCTCCGTGCCCCGCCCCTGTTTCAAGCGGTTTTCCTGTCTCAGCCTCCCGAGTAGCTGGGATTGCAGGTGCGTGCCACCACGCCCGGCTAATTTTTGTATTTTTAGTAGAGACGGGGTTTCACCATGTTGGCCAGGCTGGTCTTGAACTCCTGACCTCAAATGATCCACCTACCTTGGCCTCCCAAAGTTCTGGGATTACAGGCATGAGCCACTGTGCCTGGCCTCCTGCCTTTTTCTTGAAAGGCAGTGGCTCCCTTTTTCACCAGCCCCAGAGTACCACACTACCCTTTGCCGCTTTCCTTAAACTCTCCTCTCTAGGTTCAGTTCCCCAGAAGCAGACCCTGAGACAAAGATTTGAATGCAAGTAGTTTATTTGGGAAGAGGAAACATGGAAGGGTGTGGGTGCAGAAATAAGACAGGAAAGTGGAGGCCAGGTGCGGTGGCTCATGCCTGTGATCCTAGCACTTTGGGAGGCCGAGGCAGGTGGATCAAACTCCCTTACTATATAACAGGAGTTTGAGGCCAGCCTGGCCAATATGGTGAAACCCTGTCACTACTAAAAATACAAAAATTAGCAGGGCGTGGGGGTGCATGCCTGTAATCCCAGCTACTCCGGAGGCTGAGGAAGGAAAATCACTTGAACCCAGGAGGCAGAGGTTGTGGTGAGCTGAGATTGCACCATTGCACTCCAGCCTGGGCGACAGAGCAAGACTCCGTCTCAAAAAAATAAAAAAACAACAAAAAAAACATGAGCAGGTCACCACCCTGGGCACCTGGAGCTCCATGCCTGGGTGGATGGAGATGATGAGTATGTCACAGCCTTAACCCAACTGAGGAGCGAGGAAGCTGGGGGATCTATCTGCCCCCTCCCCTCTGGCAATGCTTCCAGGACATTAACTTCCTGGCACTCTTAGTTTGTTCAGCATAACTGGCTGAGCTTGCTCGCACGGCTAGAAAATACCCGCAGCAATGAGAGAGGGGCTCAGGTATTAGCAATAAGTGGTTATTGTCATGTAGAGGTGACGTCGAGGGCATACGGGTAGCTACACCAGCCCACACCTTTGTAAATAACTCCCAATTTAAACCCTCTTCAATTACGCAGTTTGAGTGTGGCACCTAGTTCCTGCCATGACCCCAAATGATACAGGCTAGCCTTGAGCTTCTTCACAGCAATACACAGCGGACCAGTGACTACAGAAAGCTTGAGAAGGGCTGGAGAGAGACATTCATTATCCACACAGCATGCCACTCCTGTGAGAAGACAACAGAGATGGAGCACGTTTGAGAATGTCCCTCCACCTCTCATGTAGCCCTCCTGAAAAATCTAGTTCAAGATCTATTTCAGCTAGGGCATAGTGGCTGACGCCTGTCATCCCAGCACTCTGGGAGGCCGAGGTGGGTGGGTCACCTGAGGTCAGGAGTTCAAGAACAGCTTGGCCAACATGGTACAACCCTGCCTGTACTAAAAATACAAAAATTAGCTGGGCGTGGTGATGCACACTTGTAATTCCAGTTACTCGCGAGGCTGAGGCAGGAGAATCATTTGAACCTGGTAGGCAGAGGTTGCAGTGAGCTAAGACACACCACAGCACTCTAGCCTGGGTGACAGAGTGAGACTCCCTTGGGCTCTGGGGTCTTCCTCTGTGAAACTTTGAGCAAGGGGTTGAGAAATCAAGAGTTGCAAACTCAGGCTGGGTGCAACGGTTCATGCCTGTAATCCCAGCACTTTGGGAGGCCGAGGCAGGTGGACCCGCTGAGCCCAGGAATTCAAGACCAGGACAATATGGTGAAACCCTGTCTACCAAAAATACAAAAATTAGCCAGTCTCATAACTCGGTCTCAAAATAATTGAAATATTTAAAAATACATAGAACCTGAACAAAAAAAAATTTAAGTTTTTGTAAAAACCACATAGAATCTAAACAAAATTTTTAAAAAGTTAAAAAAAATTTTCAAATTCAAATACAGATGATCAGGATCAGGGGCAGTGGCACGCCTGTAATCCAGCACTTTGGGAGGCCAAGGCAGGTGGCTAGATTGAGGCCAAGATCAAATGTAAATGATCACTTACAGCTCTGTGGCTTCAGGGCAAGTTTTTATTTCTTTTTATTTCTTTTTTTTTTTTTTTCACTGCAGCTTCTGCCTCCCGGGTTCAAGCGATTCTCCTGCCTCAGCCTCTCAAGTAGATGGGATTACAGGCATGTGCCACTGTACCCAACTAATTTTTATATTTTTAGTAGAGACAGGGTTTCACCATGTTGGCCAGGCTGGTCTCGAACTCCTGACCTCAAGTGATCCACCTGCCTTGGCCTCCTAAAGTGCTGGAATTACAGGCATGAGTCACCGCACCCGGCCCCAACACTTTTCTGAAAGTGCTACAGCATCTGCCACGGAGATATCTGTGCATGCCCACAGGCAGCCGTGGGGTCATAAGCCTCCTTCAGCTTCATTATCTTGTTTGTGCAGGCCAGACGTGCCTGAACCCACGACAGCTTTGCCAGAAGAGTGGCTTGCATCACTTCCACATAACCTGTTCCCCCTCCCCCACACTGGGACCAGCTGGGATTGAGGGGTGGGGGGTCAGGCTGGGGAAGGCTCATGGAGATGGCATTTGCAACCTACCCCTCTCCTGCCAACCTCTACTACCACACTGAAAGGATCAGGGGGACATCACTAAATTGAGGACCTGGGTAGAGAAGGAAGAAGAGTATCCTGTCAGCCTTCAAAGGTTGTTTAGAGCTCTTGGTGCAGGAAGGCCCTGTTAGAAAACTCCAAGAGCTCAGGAGGGCCTTGGGCACAAAAGCTCAGAGTTGTCCTCAAGAAGCAAGTGCATGGCAGTTATATCAGATGCATATTGCAATAATAATAAAAACCCTTACACACATCTACAAGCCTTATCCACACTTCAGAGATCCCAACATTTCTGAACAAAATAATACCAAAACCCATTCAGCAGCAAAAACCTAATCTGAATAGATATATGAATACTCACATATTGTTTTCTGCAGAAATATTAATGTGTTCCATTATGGGATGCTAAGCCAGATCCCACCACACACTAGTGTGTTAAATAAGTCATGTGCTTTCCAAAACCCCAAAACTCCCCAAATTCCAAAATGCATCAGGATCCTGAGACATTGGAGTTTCAGTTAAGGAGTTGTGACCTGTGTGGCTTACTCCATGACAGGCACCATTCTAAGTGCCCTGCATCTGTTAACTCAATCCTTATAATGACCTGACAGAGTAGAACTTACTGTTATTCTTTCAATTTTACAGATGAGGAAACTGAGGCAGAGGCAAAGTGACTTGCCCAAACACATATACCTAATGAATGCTGGAACTGAAGCTTCCAGAGCCTGGTTCCAGAGCCTACTCTCTGAACCATTTTGCCATCTATTTCTCTTAAAAGGGCTGGTGAGGTGGGCCTGGAGGTTGGGGGTTGTGGTAAACAACATGGGATAACCATTTTATGCTGTGTGTGTGCTATGGTTCGGATGTGGTTCATCTCCTCCAAAACACATGTAGAAATTTGGTTCCCAGTGAAATGGTATTGGGAGGTGGGGCCTTGAAGAGGGGATCAGGTCATTAGGAGGGATTAATGCCTTTGTCACAGGAGTGGGTTAATTCTCATAGGAGTGGGTTAGTTATTGAGAGCAGGTCATTACAAAAGTGAGTTTGGCTGCCTCAGCTTTCTCTTCCACTCACCTACGATGCCTTCTGCCATGTTACAACACAGCACAAGGCCCTCCCCAGAAGCTGACCAGATGCAGCCACCCTATCTTGGACTTCCCAACCTCCAGAACTGTGGGAAACAAACCCCTTTTCTTTGTCAATTACCCAGTCTCAGGGGTTCTATGATAGCAACAGAAAGGGGAGTAATTGTGTAACACGTGCGTGCCCAGGTGGGTGTGTGAGAGCTAATCCTGTTGGTACGGTTGTTCTGTAGGGTGACTAACCATTGGGAATTGTCCTGGGACTCTTGTTTTCAGCACTGAAAACTCTGTATTTCAATAAACTCCTCAGACATGGTAAACCAGGATGGTTTGATCACTCTAATTCTCGGCCTCTTTTGCTATGAGCAACATGAGGATCACGACCCACTCAGGAAGGAGGCGGATGTTGTAGTGAGTCAAGATCACGCCACTGCACCCCAGCCTGGATGACAGACTAAGAATCTGTCTCAAAAAAAGAAAAAGAAAGAAAATGAAAGAGTTGGATAGGAACTGGAAAGTCCCCCTTAATTCTCAGCCAGCGTTTACTGAGCGTGCCCCTGGGCCAGGTCCCAGGCTAGGTGCTGGGGACACGTGGTGAGGAAGGCCTGGCCCCTCTGAGAGACACCCACAGGCCAGGGACAGTTGCTTTCTGACCTCGCAGGTATGGGGCTGGCTCTCACCCTGCCCATGGTGGCAGGTGTCCACCCAGCCTTCAAAGCAAGAGGAGGGAGGAAGAAGTGCATGCCCGTTCGAGAGTTACTTTATGAGGACAAACAGGTCCATCACCTTGGTTGACATCAGCAAAGAAGCATCAGCCAAAGCCTTAAGGTGACCCCAAAGGACTGGGGTGCAGGTGGGGGGTCGGGTTGAGACAGGCTCAGCCTGTATAGAGGAGAAGAAAGCTTCTGTCGAGGCCCCAGCTCGCAAAGATGAAGCTACTGCTTGATGATACTGTCTCCAGGGCCAGAGTTCTTCCTCCAATCCCATGCTATCTGTAGTCCTCTCCTGCTGCGTGGGAAGTGCAGTCATTAGACTCATTTTCCAGGTGACAGACCTCTGCCTCAGGGCTCAGAAAACCTCCTCTTGGGGTTCCAGATGAGTCTTTCAGGATGGAGGACGGGAAGCAGGCCATCGAGGACTCTGGTAAGAAATGAGGCTTCTGGCCGAGCATAGTGGCTCACGTTTGTAATCCCAGCACTTTGGAAGGCTGAGGCAGGTAGATCACTTGAGGTCAGGAGTTCCAGACCAACCTGGCCAACATGGTGAAATCCCGTGTCTACTAAAAATACAAAAATTATCCAGGAGTGGTGAAGTGTGCCTGTAGTCCCAGCTACTTGGGAAGCTGAGGCAAGAGAATCACTTGAACCCAGAAGGTGGAGGTTGTAGTGAGCTGAGATTGCATCACTGCATTCTAGCCTGGGTGACAGAGGGAGATTCTCTCAAAAAAAGAAAGAAAGAAAGAAATGAGTTTTCCCTGACTGAGCCTGGGAAGCTGGAGTTCATTCATTCATTTGTTCATTCATTCTGGCTGATCCCCAGCTCTGGCAGTTCCTATCTGCGTGACCCTGGCAGCTCACTTCAGCCCTCTGAGCCTAAGATTCTATGTACCAGCCACTGCTCAGTCTACTGAGGGTGCAGAAGGAACTAGACAGTCATGGCCTCCAGCCTCACGACACAGATAATGGGGTGGGGGCAGGGGCAGCTAACTTGTTCTGGAGGCTTCCTGTAAGACACAGTGCTTGAATGGAGGTGGACAAAATGAGGCGCTGTTGAACATGTTCATCTGATGTGGGTGAGGTAGGGATTTCATGCTAGGGAGAGACAGAAGTGGATGGAGCAAACTTACTGTGAAAGTCACAAGCTTAAGCCTTAGAGCCCCTCCCTTGCCAGGCGCCTTCCAGGGGCTTAGGAGGGGCTGAGAAATGCATACTCAGGCATCACATGTTTTAGTAGTATTTGCCAACGTAAGATGTTTTAGCTGTAATTTATCAAGAATGCTGCCTCCTTCCCTCCAGCTTCCCTCTGTCACACTTCCCCTCCTTTTGGGTACTGCCCAAGTGGTTCTGGTATTTTGGGGGATCTAGCTAAGGAGAAGTTGTCACGGAATGCTGACATGGATGAAAATAACCAAAGTCAAAATATACCACTACAAAAAGGGTGTAATAGATGGCATCAGTTCAAAAAGGTTTTAAGATTAGTTATGAAGGAAACATAACAAGCCAGAAATCTTACAGCTCTGATATGAAAGAAACTTGACAGAGGTTCTTCTACATTTGACAGCAATCCTAGAATGTCATGACCCTACAGTAGTCCCCCCTTATCCTCGAGGGACACATTTCAAGACCCTCGATGGGTGCCTGAAACTGGATAGTATGGAATCCTATTTAGACTATGTTTTTTTTTTGTTCTGATAACCAAGACAACTACTAAGTTGACTAATGGGCAGGTAGTGACAATGCTGGACAAAGGGATGATTCACGCCCCCGGTGGGACAGGGTGGGGTGGAGTGGGGCACCGCCAAACTTCATCACGATACTCAGATCAGCATGCAATGTAGAACTTAACGAATTGTTGATTTCTGGAATTTTCCCTTTAATATCTTCAGACTCTGGTTGACCATGGGCAACTGAAACCTCAGGAAACAAAACCTTGCACAAGACGGGGTTACTGTGCTGGTGATAAGCTGTGAAGCTGAGAGAAACTTTAACTATAAAATATGTGGGACCATAAAAAATGTGGGGCTTACGCCTGTAATCCCAGCATTTTGGGAGGCCAAGGTGGGAGGATGGCTTGAGGTCAGGAGTTCAAGACCAATCTGGGCAACATAGTGAGACTCCGTCTCTACAAAATCTTAAAATATTAGTTGGGTGTGGAGACGCATGCTTGGAGTCCTGTTTACTTGGGAGGCTGAGACAGAGGGACCCCTTGTGCCCAGGAGTTTGAGGCTGCAGTGCACAAAGATCAGACAACTGTACTCCTGCCTGGGCAATGGAGCAAGACCTTGTCTTCAAAAAAAAATATGGGGGCTGGGTGTGGTGGCTCACACCTGTAATCCCAGCACTTTGAGGCCGAGGTGGGCGGATCGTTTGAGGCCCGGAGTTTGAGACCAGCCTGGCCAACATGGTGAAACCCCATCTCAACTAAAATTGCAGAAGTTCTCCAGGCATGATGGCACACCTGTAGCCCCAGCTACTCAGGAGGCTGAGGCAGGAGAATCGTTTGAACCCAGGAGTTGGAGGTTGCAGTGAGCCAAGATCGCACCGCTATTGTCCAGGAACAGAGCGAGACTCTGTCTCAAAAAAAAAAAAAAAAAAAAAAAAAAGGTCAACTGTACTAGAGAAAAGACTAAAGTATCTTCTTATTCTAAAGAAAATGACATTACAAAATCAGTGTTACATGAAGAAGTTAACCTAAAAGTATACAACCAAAATGTAAGAATGAAATAATTATAGATATGTATATTAATGTGAATGTGTAAATTTTAATGTAATTATGAACGAAAATGTAATATTATGTAAATATATTTATTATGTTACATGTAACTTATTTTTTGTGGGGGGAACAGATTTTTGCTCTTGTTGCCTGGGCTGGAGTACAATGGCATGATCTTGGCTCACCAAAACCTTCGCCTCCTGGGTTCAAGCAATTCTCTTGCCTCAGCCTCCCGAGTAGCTGGGACTACAGTCGTGCACTACCACATCTGGCTAATTTTTGTATGTTTAGTAGAGATGGGGTTTCTCAATGTTGGTCAGGCTGGTATCAAACTCCCGACCTCAGGTGATTCACCTGCCTCGGCCTCCCGAAGTGCTGGGATTACAGGCGTGAGCCACCTTGCCCAGCCTTAATCTGTTTAATAACATATTATGTTATGAACCGTTGCTAGAGAGACCAAGACCGAATAAAGGACCTGATAAGTATATGATATGGAGGACGGTGAGTTCCCATCCCAGGAAGTGTGCAGAGCCAAGGCTCAGTGGGCAGCTGTCATCAGGAAGAGGGTTCCTGCACTGGTGACAGGCTGAAGGAAATGACTTATCAGGTCCTTTATTTGGTCTTGGTCTCTCTGGATAAGGGTCCCAAGATTCCCTCCCCTGTTGTGGTCACTTAGCTAGCAACGGTTCATAACATAATATATTATTAAACACATTAAGGCCGGGCACGGTGGCTCACGCCTGTAATCCCAGCACTTCGGGAGGCCGAGGTGGGCGGATCACCTGAGGTCAGGAGTTTGAGACCAGCTTGGCCAACATGGTGAAACCCCATCTCTACTAAAAATACAAAAAAAAAAAAAAATTAGCCAGACGTGGTGGTGCACATTTGTAATCCCAGCTACTAGGGAGGCTGAGGCTGGAGAATTTCTTGAACCTGAGAGGTGGAGGTTGCAGTGAGCCGAGAATGTACCATTGCACTCCAGCCTAGGTAGCTGAGTGAGACTCCATCCCAAAAAAAAAAAGAGTGGTTACCCTAGACCTCTAATAAACAAATATGCCCCTCCTCCAAAACTCTTCTTATACTAAATTTCAGAAAGGAAAAGCCAACACACACACACACACACAAAGAATGTTCGTTATTTACCTGGCTAAAACCTGATAAAAAGATTTTCTTAAGAGCTCTATAGTGCAAAATTGACTTAATTAAAAGCAGATATTCAGACTATAATTTTTAAAATAGGGCCTTTCTGCTTTTTCTATTTTGGATCTTGATTTGGGGAATTTCTTCCAGGTGACTGAAACCCCTCGTTTAATTCTCTGGTGAGTCCCTTCCTCGATTCCCTTCCTTTCATGTTGGTATGATTTTTTGCTGAAGGAAAAAAATGTAAAACTTCAGTGGTCTTCTGGAAACCTTAAATTCCTTCTCTGTGCTTTGAAATGTAAATTTTCTACCTTGCTCTCTAAAATTCAGTGAGGTAGGTACTCGCTTGGGCAGTGCATATACTAAGATTGGAACAAAGGCTGGGTGTAGTGGCTCACACCTGTAATCCCAGCACTTTGGAAGGCCGAGGTGAGTGGATCACCTGAGGTCAGGAGTTTGAGACCAGCCTGGTCAACATGCTGAAACCCCATCTATACTAAATATATAAAAATTAGCTGGGTATGAAGGCACATGCCTGTAATCCCAGCTACTTGGGAGGCTGAGACAGGGGAATTGCTTGAACATGGGAGGTGGAGGTTGCAATGTGCCAAGATCGCACCACTGCACTCTAGCCTGGGCGACAGTGAGACACTATGTCTCTAAATAAATAAATAGATTGATAGAAATTGGAACAATACAGAGAAGATTAGCATTGCCCCTGTGCAAGGATGACATGCACATTCTGAAGTGTTCCATTTTTTAAAAAGAAAAAAAATACGTTATTTAATAAAATTAATTAGGGCTGGGTACAGTGGCTCACACCTGTAATCCCAGCACTTTGGGAAGCTGAGATCAGGAGTTTGAGACCACCCTGGCCAACATGGTGAAACCCCATCTCTACTGAGAACACAAAAATTAGTTGGGCGTGGTCGTGTGCACCTGTAATCCCAGCTAAGTGGCCACAACAGGGGAGGGAATCTTGGGACCCTTATCCAGAGAGACCAAGACCAAATAAAGGACCTGATAAGTCATTTCATTCAGCCTGTCACCAGTGCAGGAATCCTTTTCCTGATGACAGCTGCCCACTGAGCCTTGGCTCTGCACACTTCCTGGGATGGGAACTCACTGTCCTCCAAATCCTATACTATCATGGGTCAAAACTCTGGTTGTGGGAAGCTCCTTAGTCAAGCTACTTGGGAGACTGAGGCAGGAGAATCACTTGAATCCCGGAGGCAGAGGCTGCAGTGAGCCAAGATCGTGCCACTGCACTCCAGCCTGGGTGACAGAGTGAGACTCCGAGACTCTGTCTCAGAAACAAACAAACAAACAAACAGTCACAAAGGGATCAAATTTCGTTTTGGCTCCTCCTGCTTTGGCAATGGCCACAAAAGGGAAAACGTTTTTCAAATCTTTTTGGTAACTATACCTTTAGGTTTTGCCGAGCTAAATTAAATCATGAATATTTATTGAATATCTAGATCATTTCCAAAGAAGACATAATGCTAAGACATTAATTCCTACATATAATTTTAAGCTCATATACTTTTGATTTCTTGTTTCATAGAAACAAAAGATATTTAGGGGCTGGGTGTGCTGGCTCATACCTAGAATTCCAGCACTTTGGAAAGCTTGAGGTCAGGAATTCGAGAACAGCCTGGGCAACATAGTGAGACATTTTCTCTACAAAATAAAAAATTAAAAGTTAGCCAGGAGTGGTGTTGCATGCTTGTAGTCCCAGCTACTTGAGAGGCTGGGGCAGGAGGATTACTCAAGCCTAGAAGTCTGAGGCTGTAGTGAGCTATAATCACACCACTATACTCCAGCTCAGGCAACATATTAAGACCCTGTCTCAAAAAAATAAATAAATAAATAAATAAATAAGATTTGTTAGTAAAAATATTCTATTCCACATTGAACAATTGTTCTATTAGAAAGCCTGTGTTTCCAACTATTATAAAATGTGTATTCATAAATTGTTAGTACATAACTGACAGTTAAAAATTACTTCTGGCCGCGTGTGGTGGCTCACACCTGTAATCCTAGCACTCTGGGAGGCCAAGGCGGGTGGATCACCTGAGGTCAGGAGTTCGAGACCAGCCTGGCCAACATGGTAAAATCCTGTCTCTACTAAAACTACAAAAAATTAGCTGATGTGGTAGTGTGCACCTGTAGTCCAAGCTACTTTGGAGGCTGAGGCAGAAGAATCATTTGAACCTGGGAGGCGGAGGTTGCAGTGAGCCAAGATCGCACTACTGCACTCCAGCCTGGGTGACAGAGTAAGACTCTGTCTAAAAAAAAAAAAAAATTACTTCTTAGGTTTTCAGTATAAATTATGATTACTAAGATTTAAAATTCTGACTAATATATGGTAACTAATACTAGAGACCAGAAGGAAAATAATTCTGTATTCAAATATATAAGGAAAGTAAGATATGTTTTTAGGATGGAAGATTACAAGACATAAGTATACGGTTTTTGTTAAAGAAAATGTGATTTTGCCTAGTTTAGAGGTTATTTAAAGACTGTGTTAAACTGGGATAAAAGAAGGAAAAAATGAAATAGATTAACTGAATGGATATAGAAAGTTGGGAAAAGAAAGAGGAATGGAAAAATTGTAAGAGATTACAAAAGGTTTATGGAAATATCTTGTGTGGTCAAAGCTGATTGAGAGTGGATGGATTTATTTATAAGGTTTTATTAAAATTAGGGCTCACACCTGTAATTCCAGCACTTTGGGAGGCCAAGGCGGGCAGATCACCTGAGGTCGGGAGTTCGAGACCAACCTGAACAACATGGTGAAACCCTGTCTCTACTAAAAATACAAAATTAGCTGGGCGTGGTGCCTCATGCCTGTAATCCCAGCTACTCAGGAGGCTGAGGCAGGAAGGAAAGAAAGAGAAAGACGAAACGGGGGAGAGGAAGAGATATTCTGTTAGTCTTAAGCTGTCTTTATCAGGTCTTTTGATTGGAAAACTGAATCTCCTGTCTATGAGAGAGTAAAGATTTGCTTTTTGAAATATTTGAACAATTGCTTTTTAGACGTATGACTATAATTTTCTACTGACCTGTGATCTTATTTTGATATCAAGTGTTTTAAGCCTTTATTTTTGACATACTTCTCAAAATCAAATTTCAAATTCTAAATTGAGTCTTTTTGATTTCAAACTAACTTTTGGACATTCAAAAAAATAACCCTCGAAAGTCCAAGTTTATTTGGTATGTTAAAATCATATGGGAAGCATTACCAAATAAGAAATGGTGTTTAATTTTCTTCAAATTGTATTATGTAAATGTGTTATTAATATGTATGTTGAAGTTGTATGAAATTTCAAAAAAATCTGATATGTCTTGGTATGTTACCAGTCATAATTATGAACATTATGTTAAATTGTTGTATGCCACAGAAATAACCAAATTTCCTTATCAACTGTGTCTTTAACCATGGCTATTCTAAGTTTTTTATCATCCCTGGACAATTATTATTTGACTTTGATTCTTCTCAAAAAGTGTCTTATAGTCAGCTATAGTCCAAAATTAGCTGCTTCTTCAAGAAATTTGTGGAAAGGACAATGACAAGTATCCTTAAATACTTGTCAGGTTTCTGATGAGTTTTAAGATCATAACATTGGTCTAGGGAAAAAATTCCAGAACCTTAATTTAAAACACTGAGAAGTTTGTGAAGATTGCTAACCCAGCATCAAGCAGAATAAGAATTAATTACATTGTACTTAACTAATGGAGGTCTAAAATGATTTTTTATGACTTGTTGTTTGAAATATTGTGGATTCATTTTGTGCGTTATTTTCCAGAGTCAAGAAAACTTTTCTTTTCAGCTACTTATTGCAATTGGGTAAACTATACTTTTGTGAGCAAATTAACACATTTGCTTTTCTATCTGATTGCTCCAGAACTCAGAAACTATTTGTGAGTGTTCTTATTTTATGGCAATATAGTTATTTGCACTTCTCAAAGTAACTATTTGTGTCGTTATTGTAAACTATATTTGCAATATAGTTATTTCAATAAGAACCTGACACCATTGAGAACGCTGGTTATTTTACCGAGGCTTTGACTGGAATGAGTTATTTTCATAGATTTTCAGACTGCTTTGAGGGATTGAGTTGGCTTTACAAAGCTAATAGGCTTGGTAAAAGACTGGGTTGATATCTTGTCTATGTGGTTCCCTTACAGGGTTCCTGACCTTGAGGTAAGTAAAGAATGTCACTTTCTGAGAAGTCCAAGGAAACTCAAGATATTTTAGGGGCCTTGAGGAGAGAAGAATTCACCCAGTTAGTACAGGTATTATAAGCACAGTCTGAAGGCAAGGCTTTGACAAGTCTAATCTGAAATTCCTTATGAAAAATTTCCATAAAGCCAATTCAAAGGGAGCCAATCACGATTCTTGCTGTACTTTATGTAAAAAATCAGGTCAAGTATAATAAGACTAAAATTTATTTTACAAAGAAATTAGTCCTGCCATGATTTATCTTTGCTAAAATTGGGGGGACAGGAGAGAGAAAAATTGTTTCAATAGCACACCTGTTAGCTTCTAGCCCTGACCATGGTCTTTGAGTTTTTATTATTTGCCCAAAATTCGAACTGAATCCGGAATTATTTTTTGTTACAAGTTTCTAAAGAAAAACTTGGATTTAATTTTTTTCATGATGTTTCAAGTTGGCTCCCTAATGGAATAGGTTTTTTTTTTTTTTTTTTCATTTTGGCATACAAATTCTCTTTATGATAATACTTATGAACATTAAATTTGTACTATTCAAATTATTGTTATAGATCTCTCATTGTTTTACTTCTCCAAAGCAAACTAAAATCCCAGTGTTCTGAAAACGAGAGATGATTTAACAAATGACAGCAGCTACATAAATCAATGACTTGACTGAGGTCTCATTTTTTGCCACGCTGTGATGCCATACCAATTCGGCTTCTGGGCACCCTTAAAATTCCTCACTGAGACATTTTCTCCTTCCCCCTCTGTATGAGACAGGACTGTCCAGGAATGAGCCCTCCCAGTGATGAGGGACACCTTGACACTTAGACTTTAATCACTGCTCTCCAGAAAAAAGATTTTTGATCAAAAGGGAGAAATGAGAAAGAAAAGAATTATTTTATTCAAGAAAAGCAAGGCTCTTTTAAATGATGAGGCCCAGAGAGGCACTGGAATGAGACACCAATCATGTTTTCCCACCCACTCGGAGTTAAATAATCATTTCAAAGCTGCCTGCTCTATGGTCTCTAGGCTGAGTATCACCACCAAAATCTATAAATTAACCTAACACTGACCCCCACTAGACAGCATAACTCATATCCTATAGTACAACCAGGTAGAGCCAATCAACAGTCAATGTCATTTCTGGAAACCAGTGAGAATTCCTGAAAAACAATTTTGTAATTGCCCCCTCTCATGATTTGTCCTTTCTAAAAATCCTGGAGCATCTTCTTTGTTCTCCAGAGTATTTCTCAAAGTAACTTGGGAAGTAATTCTGGACTGCAATTCTCAACCTTGGCCCAAGTAAACTCTCTAGCTGTATTAATTTGCCTTTGTTAGGTTGAAAATGTTCAGTATATGTGCATTGTTGTGCAACAGGTCTCCAGAACTTTCTCATCTCACAAAACTGAAACTGTGCACCCACTGAACAGTAACTCTTCATTCCCCTTCCCCAGTGCCCTGCTTATCACAATTCTACCCTTTGTCTCTATGAATTTGACCACTCTACAAACCTCATATACCTGCAATCAGTATTTGTCTTTTTGTGACTGGCTTGTTTCAGTTAGCACAATGTCCTTAAGGTTCATCCATCTTGTGGCACCTGTCAGAATGTCCTTCCTTTCTTAGCCTGAAAAATATTTTTAAACCTTTCAGACGTTCAGGTAGAGCCATTTAGTAAGAATTTGAAAATAGCCTATTGTATGTATGTATGACATTAGGCACCCCCTTAAACACTCAGGGAGCCAGGAATGGGCCAAAAGAGCAGAGGGAGCCCTGAGAGCTGATTATTTGGAGCCTCTGGCATCCCATCTGGCATCTGGGGCCTCTCCTGGGAGAAGAGAAAATTAAGTTTGTAACAAAGAAAGGCTCGGCCAGGCATGGCGGCTCACGCCTGTAATCCTAGCACTTTGCGAAGCCAAGGCAGACAGATCCCTTGAGCCTGGGAGTTTGAAACCAGCCTGAGCAACACAGTAAAACCCCATCTTTACAAAAAAACACCAAAAAATTAGCTGGCTATGGTAGCGTATGCCTGTAGTCCCAGCTACTGGGGAGACTGAGGTGGGAGGATCACCTGAGCCCAGGAGGTCCAGGCTGCAGTGAGCCGTGATTGTGCCACTGCAGGGCAACAGAGTGAGACCCTGTCTCAAAAACAAAAACAAGGGCCGGGCGCGGTGGCTCAAGCCTGTAATCCAGCACTTTGGGAGGCCGAGGCGGGTGGATCACAAGGTCAAGAGATCGAGACCATCCTGGTCAACACGGTGAAACCCCGTCCCTACTAAAAATACAAAAAATTAGCTGGGCATGGTGGCACGTGCCTGTAATCCCAGCTACTCAGGAGGCTGAGGCAGGAGAATTGCCTGAACCCAGGAGGCGGAGGTTGCGGTGAGCCGAGATCGCGCCATTGCACTCCAGCCTGGGTAACAAGAGCGAAACTCCGTCTCAAAAAAAAAAAAAATCAAAAGAGAGAGAGACTCACACTGGGAAGGCAGAGGGCTGAAGATACCCTGCCACCTGCCCCAGGCCCTCCTGGCTTGGGAAGGTTAGATAAGCAGTCACCAGATGCCTGATTCCACAGAAGCCCTGCCCAGCCTCAGCGACTCCGTGCTAAAGGCCAGGCTGCACCTGGGGCAATGAGCTCAGAGCATGGCCTGCCAAGCCTAGGCAGGCCCAGCCTGGGGCAAAGTGGGAAACAGCCTGCCTTTGTCTTCCCTCCTGCCCTCGCCCTACCCTTCTTGGTCCACGAGGAAGCTGGGTCCCCAGCTCTCTATGCCATTATAACAACTACTAGTCACTATAATTTTTCCCTCTCCAGTCCCCCAAGCTTAGCAAAGATAAATCATAGTAGGATTGATTTATTTGTGACATAAATTTTAGTCTTATTATACTTGACCCGATTTGTTGCATAAAGTACAGCAAGAATTGTGATTGGCTCCCTTCGAACTGGCTTTACTAGAGCTTTTTTATGAGGAGTTTCAGATGAGACTTTGAAAAGCCTCTCAAGGACACGAGGCCAATCAAGTATTCACCATGAGACTGTGCTTGTGACACCTGTGCTAACTGGGCGAGTTCTTCCGAAGACCCCTAAAATATCTCAAGGTTCATCTGCCTTGCATGCTTCATCAAACATGCTTCGCCCCCGGCCTCATGGGACCCTCACAACGGCCTGCAGGGGAGGGAGGGGGACGAAGAGAGAGAGACTGGGCAGATGGCCATCTCTGTTTTACAGGTGAGAAGAGCAGGGCCCAGAGGACGGCCAGTTGGGGTGAAGCATCAGGTCTTGGTCATTCAGGCATTTATTCCAGGCAGAGGAAACAGAAAACGCCTAGGTCCTGAGGCAGGCATGCATTCGGCATGTTAGAGAACCATCTAGAAGGCCCATGTGGCTGGAACGGAATGATTGAGAAAAAACATAGACGATGAGTTGGGGCATGGACACTGGCCAGACCATGCAAGACCTTGGAGAACATGAAGAGGAGACCGGATTTCACTCCAGTTGCCACAGAAGTCACTGGGAGAGGCCTCCTCTGAGATCAGACACTAAGAAAACAGTGTCAGGCCAGTTAGACAGGTCTGGGCTCATCTTCTGGAGTCAAATGCAGGTGGCATTAGTTAAATGGCCAGTCACAGGGTGACGGGTGCCATGATGGGGGTCCCACAGGGCTGTGAGAGCACAGAGGAGGGACCCCGCCCCAGCCTGAGGGCCCAAGGGTACTTCCCAGGGCAAGAGAGAGCTCAGCTGAGACCTGAAGGCTACGGCAGAGTTAGTTAGCCAGCTTGAAAGAGAATGACAAGGGATGGGAAGTGGATTTCAGGCAGAGGGAGCAGCAGCTGCAAAGACCTGAGAAGAAAAGTCTGGGGCATTTGGGGGAGCAGAAGAGGGTTAATGTGGCCGGATTGTAGGTGCAAGCAGGGGTGGGCCTGGGTGACAGGGGCAGCAGCTAGCAGGGGTCTGCCTTTCTCACTTGACATATTGTGAACATTTTCCTATGTCAGTGAGGATCCTTCTGCTATAGGATTTTGGTTGCTTCTGCTATAGGATTTTTTTTTTTTTCCCTTGAGACGGAGTCTTGCTCTATCACCCAGGCTGGAGTGCAGTGGCACAATCTCTGCTCACTGCAACCTCCACCTCCCGGGTTCAAGTGATTCTCCTGCCTCAGCCTCCTAAGTACCTGGGATTACAGGTACCCACCACCACACCTGGCTAATTTTTGTATTTTTAGTAGAGACAGGGTTTCACCATGTTGGCCAGGCTGGTCTCAAACTCCTGACCTTGTGATCTGCCCACCTTGGCCTCCCAAAGTGCTGAGATTACAGGTGTGAGTCACCACACCTGGCTGCTATAGGATTTTTAAGGGCTGCACAGAATTATTCCACTGCACATTCTGTCGTGGAATAACCAGTCCTCCAGTGTTGGACATTTAGGTTCTTTCTAGTTTTTCTGTATTAGAAACAACGCTGTGATGAACATCTTTGTCTGTCCATCTTTGTGCACATGTATTATTATTTCTATGCAGTAAGTCTTGGAGGCTACTTGGTGGACAGGCTTGAGAGCTGCCTTGGAGAGGCCTGAGTCAGATCTGTTTACCAGATCAGTGCCTCCGCTGGGTTTCTGCTGGAGGGGCCATACACAGGGAGATGCAGGGAGAAGGCCTGACGGAGAGATAGAGGGCCCTGATGGTGAGTTCTGGCTGCCCAGGCCAGGTAGTGGCAGGGGAGAAAGGAGGCCCCGATCTGGGCCCCTGTCTGTCCCGTCAGCCTGGTGCCTTAGCTCCTGGTGCCTTCTAAGGAGGCAACAAAAGTACTTCAAATTGAGCATGCGCTTGGGTTCAAATCACAGCTCTATAAAGAACTAAGTGCTGTTGGGCCAGCTACTTAGTCATTCTGAATCTCAGTGTCTTCATCTGTAACATGGGGAAAATAAGCCAACAGGGTTATTGTGAAAGATACATGAGATTAATGAGTCCTGGCAATAGTCCCTGCTCCCAGTAAATGATGGCATGTATTTTAATTGTCATCTTGGGTCTCCACCCTTTTTAAAAAAATACATTACTATAACAGCTTTATTGAGATAAAATTCACAGGCCATACGATTCACTGATTTAAAGTGTACAATTCAGGCAGATCACTTGAGTCAGGAGTTCAAGAACAGCCTGGCCAACATGGTGAAAACCTGTCTCTACAAAAAAATACACACATTAGCTGGGGGTGGTTGTGAATGCCTGTAATCCCAGCTACTTGGGAGGCTGAGGCAGGAGATCGCTTGAACCCAGGAGGTGGAGGTTGCAGTGAGCCAAGGTCGTGCCACTGCACACTCCAGCCTGGGCAACAGAGCAAGACTCTGTCACAAAAACAACAACAAAAACTGTACAGTTCAATAACTTTTCATGTATTTGTCACAGTCACTTCTGGCACTTTTTCATCATCCCCCACAAAAACCCTGTACCCATTAGCCGTCACTCCTGCGGTTGACCCCTCTCCGGCCCGAGGCAACTGCCCATTACTTTCTGTCTCTATGGATTTTCTTACTCTAGATGTTTCATATAAAAGAAGTCATGCAATCTGTGGTCTTTTTTTCCCTTTTTTTTTTTTTTTTTTTGAGACAGGCTCTCCTTCTCTTGCCCAGACTGGAATGCAACAGCGCAGTCGTGGCTCACTGCAGCCTCGAACTCCAGGGCTCATGTGACCCTCCCTGCTCAGCCTCCCGAGTAGCTGGGACCACAGGTGCACCACCATGCCCAGCACATTTTTAAAAATTATTTGTAGAGATGGTTCTCCCTATGTTGCCCAAGCTAGTCCAGAACTCGCGGGCTCAAGTGATCCCCTCACCTTCGCCTCCCAAAGTGCTGGGATTACGGGCGTGAGCCAGCGTGCCCAGCCTTTTATGACTGTTTATTTTTCCCACGTTTTCATCCCTGTCAGCAATGTATAAGGGTTGTGATTTCTCTGCTTCCTCACCAAAGCTTGTTATGGTTTGTGTCTTTGATCGTAGCCATCCTTGGGGGTGTGTGTGGTGGGATCTCATTGTGGTTTTGATTTGCATTTCCTTGATGGTTAATGTTTCCGTTTTTTTTTAAGGCAATCCCCTTCGTGTCCAGGGGCAGACAGATCCTGGGACACCCTATTCCCAATGTAGAAACACTAACTTGTCCCAAAGAAAGAAAAAAATCCTAATGGAAAAAGATGTTCATTACTGTAACATGGCATTCCTTACTACAAGGGGCTCTTCTATAACTGAGTGAACTGTTTACCTGTTTGGGGGCATTGGGTAGTTCCTAATTTTCTTTTATTTTCCTTAATAATTATAAAGACTGGGACACATGTGGTGACTCATGTCCGTAATCCCAACACTTTGGGAGGCCGAGGTGGACGGATCAATTGAGGTCAGGAGTTTGAGACCAGCCTGGCCAACGTGGTGAAACCCCATCTCTACTAAAAATACAAAAATCAGCCTGGCGTGCAGGTGCATGCCTGTAATCCCAGCTACTCAGAAAGGCTGAAGCAGGAGAATCACTTGAACCCAGGAGGCGGAGGTTGCAGTGAGCTGAGATCGTGCCACTGCACGTCAGCCTGGGAGACAGAGCCAGACTCCATCTCAAATAACACTAATAATAACTACAAAGACCAGCTATCATATGGAAAGTGTGCAGGATGTGTGGACAAACGCAGGATGGAAAAATACTCAGTGTGTCATTTTAGCTAATATATATTCATTAAAAAATCCAAATTTTTTTCCCAGCACTGTGCTGTGTGCCAAGCTCCGTGCTAGCTCATGGACAAAGGCAGGAAAATAAAGCAAAACCAAACTTCCGCTTGTGTTGGGAGTGTTGGGGTTCTGGGGGACAGGCATTCCCCGCTTCCCCACGTCTCTTTCCCAAACTTGCTCTACTGTTGTTATATTGCCTTTGCTGTGATGAAACCAAGAGAACAGAAGAAACACTTACGGACTTAAGAATGACGGGAGAAACGTTTCTTGTGCCAGTCCCTCTCAGTGTTATTGTTTTGTGGAATCTGCACGCAGCCCCGGGAGACTCAATAAAAAGAGCTACTATCATGGCACTTACTGTGTGCCTGGCAGGTTCCACCTATTTGATGCCATTGCTGTCCCCATTTTACAGACCAGGAAACCGAGGCGGGGCGAGGAGTTACTCTTCTACTTGGTGGTCCATTCTTTGGTGTTACCCACACAGAGCTACACATAAGCTCATGTTCACACTTGGATTCACATCTGCACAAATGGGCACACAGAGGATCGCACAAGCCACACTCAGACACACGTGTGTTCCCACACGGGGCTGCCCGTATCCACAGGTATGTGCCTGGGACACCCATGTACACATGTGCATATTCCCACGTCAAACACTTTTGGACACACATCTGCCTGAGGGTGGGAAAAGGGGTGCAGATAAAGGGGCAAAGTCTGGCTTTTGCCTCCTCTACACCTGCTACCAGGTGTGTGCAGGACTGGGCGGGGCCCAGACAGGTGGCTCCGGGCTCAAAGGGCAGAGCTGGCCTTGCACTAGAAACCCACCTGCCAAACTTCCAAATGGGCCACAGTGACTAAGGGGCCTCGCCTGCAGGGCAAACCCCCCAGCTGGAGGGCATGCTTCAGATTATCCAGGGGTCCCCAGGGGGTTGAGAAGACACGGGGCACACTTAGGGAGGAAGCATGGCCATACTAGCTAAGAGTGCAGTCTTCCTGCAGGCCACCTGCATCCGAGGCCTGGAAAATAAGACAGCGTTACAAAGAGGGTGTGGGAATGTGAGGAGCAGGAGACACAAGCATTCGTAGAGAGGCCTTCCTCAGGACCTGACATCTGGTGATCCTGGCCCTGCGTTCCACTAGTTAGGTGACATTGAACAAGTCACGCAACGTCTTTGAATCTCAATTTCCTCGTTTGCAAACTTTGCACAAATCATTTCTTTAGGCGCTAAACGAGTATGTTTTGAGGACCTACGACATGCCAGGTGTGGTGCTGGGCACTGGGAATACAGTGGCAATCCGCGCAGACGTGGCCTGGCCTGTGTAGCACCTGCAGGCTTCGGGAAAAGACCAATGGAAACACCCCGCACACAGTATGTGCTCAGTCAGCACTCCTCCTGATCTCCCTTTTCTACCAACGTAAAGGAGATGCAACAACATTAGAGAAAGTTTGGAGAATGGGGGGCGGGTGCTGACACGGGGAACCCTGTCATCCAGAATCCCACCACCCCAACACAACTAGCTTCATTTTTGCCAATTCCATCAGCTCACACAGGTGTTGGCCTGCTGTAGGGCACTCAATAAAACATTCAAACCAATTAATACATTGCACCTGTGATCAGAAGAAAACGCGAACTACAGTGTAACAGATTTACTTGATGAAAAGCAACACAAGCATGGCCATCCCTCTGCATATATGGAAGCTTTTCCTTTTGGGGGAAACAGCAATATTTCCATTTCATGGAAAAAGAAATGGAGGCAGAGAGAGGTCAAGGCACTTGCCCAAGGTCACACAGACAGAAATGTGAAGAGCAGCTCCAGAGGCCAGAACTCCGGCCCACCCTGTCCGGGACTGTGGGATGCAGCCAAAGACGGACACTGGGGCTTTGGGCTGGGTGAGCTAGCTGCCTTTCCATTGACTGGAGCTGTTTAGGGAGCCTACCCCTGCCACTAACATCCAGTCCTAGGGACACAGGAAATGAACAAGGCTCTTCACTGACCAGCCTCACTTTTGAGCCCAGAACCCCCTTACCTTTCTCCTGCCGCTTGGGAGGCCTGTGTTGGGCGTTAGCCTGGGTGCAAAGCTCTGGAAGGCAGGTTTGTGCTTTCTGCTGCCCTCCAGTGGACAAAGAAAGCAAACCTCTGGCCCCATCGGGAAGCGGGTAGCCAGTGTTGCCCGTGTCAGCTGCTGTCAGCTGCGGCTAACAGTAAGAATAACACTGGCTGCCGCTCAATGAGCACTTACCCTGTGCAGGCGTTTTTGCACCTAATCTAATGTCACCCCTTTAAACAATTAAATTAACATTTCATTCCTCTCTCAAGGTAGGAATCACTTCCTATATATATCACTTTACGTACATAATCTGAGACTTGGAAAAATGACTTCCCAAAGTCACAAAGCTGGTCAGTGGCAGAGCTGAGAGTGAAAGTCTTTGGAGCTCAGAGGAGGAAGAGGCCACGATCCTGGACGGCCCGGCACGGTTGGGCACAGAGGTGAATTTACTGTGAGGCCAGCAATGCCTTAGGGCTCTTCGCTTGCCCGTCCTCTCCCAGGGCCGTGGAGGAACTCTCCAACGCATGCACATGGGCATATGGTTTACAACATTTGCGAAACTAAGACATTTTGTTTGCAATTGGCTAAGACCACTGTCTCTCTCCACTGCCTATAATAATGTCTTCACATAGTAGGTAATAAACGTGTTAGTAAATACACTTTGTCTTTAATAAATCATGTTGACTGGATGAGTAGAGAAATGAAGGAAGGAAGGGAGTGGCATTTAGTTCAGTCTTGAAGGAAGGGCAGGATTGGAGGGAGTGTTTCTCATGTAGCCTAGTGGACCCCTCCACACACAGACCATTCAATGCCACGAGTAGCCTTGAATGCCAAGGTGAGGAATCTGGGCTTACATGGAAGGCACTGGGGGGCTATGGAAGGTTGCAGAGCAGAGGGAGGATTTGAATGTAATTATCAATTAGGCAAGAGTTGAATGTCAGATAAGAGGACAGCGCCCTACAGCGGGGGGCCAGAGTGGCTCAGATAAAACTCCCCTTCTCCAGTACTACATAGAGAGCTGGTGCTCAGCTGATGTGATCACAGAGGCCTCTGGTAGGGTGTCTATAAGCTCCTGGGAAGAAGATATACAGATGGTTTGTGTGTGTGTGGCTTAAATTGTGTGTGGCTTTGTGTGTGTGTGGATTGTGTGTGGCTTTGTGTGTGTGTGTGTGTGTGTGTGTGTATGTGTTTGGGGGGGTTGAGTGTGGATTTGCTCAACACTCTAGTGTACCCAGCCAGATGCAGGGGAGAGGTCAAAGCCCTGACTGGTGTGGGCACGGAGTTCTCAGCATTGCAGTATGACCGGCCTCTGGCTGGAAAGTGAGGTCGCCAAGAGGAAACAGGTTGGCGAGGCAGGAGTGGACCTACGAGATTCCAGCTGCACCAGCCGCTTCTTTTGCTAGGCTCCCATCATCCTTTCTCTCTTCCTGCTGGGTCTTCCTGAGTGTCACGAATTCCAGCTACTATTTATTTAGCACTTGTCTGTGTCACGCACACTCTGTAAGCACCTTCATGCGCCATCACCAGATTATTCCTCCAACAACCCCGTGAGTGAGAAGCATGGCTATTATTTCGATTTTATAGATGAGGAGGTGGAAAGCCCAGTGAGGTAAAGTTGCTTACCCGAGGTCACATAGCAGTAAATGGTATATGTGAGATCAAACCCAGACTCCAGAGGCAGCCCCCTCAATCTCCAGCCGCCCTGCCTCTTCACCTGGTCCAAGCTGGGGAGGAAAAATCCAGCTTGGCCAGCAGGGGGAGGTGTGCCCTCAAAAATAAGCACTGCTTCCCAGAACTCAGGCCAGCAGGATTTGCCCAGCATAACAGCATGATTCTGAACTATCTGGCTTTGCGCCCTCATTTAGTCTCAGCTCTGGTGGGACCTGGGGAACAAGGAGAGGGGTGCAGAGAAGTATAAAATAGCCCTCAAAGAGGTGAGCCAATGGTTCACGCACACACAAAAATGTGCAGTGGCTTTTTAACAGATAAAAAATGCTCATCTTCACTCCTAGGAAGAGAAACACCTGCTAAATCCACACCACCTGAGCAGGGACTGTTTTACTTTCAAATTGGCAAAGTTATGCAGGTGTGGATATGGAGAGCCACTCCTCCATACATTGTTGGTGGGATTGAAACTTGGCTTTGGCCAGGCGTGGTGGCGCTCGCCTGTCATCCCAGTACTTTGGAAGGCCAAGGAGGGTGGATCATCTGGTGCCAGGAGTTCAAAACCAGGCTGGCCAACATGGTGAAAGCCTGTCTCTACTAAAAATTCAAAAATTAGCTGGGCGTGGTGACATACTTCAGTAATCCCAGCTACTCAGGAGGCGGAGGCAGGGAATTGCTTGAACCTGGGAGGTGGAGAGGTTGCAGTGAGCTGAGATTGTGCCTTCGCACTCCATCCTGGGCAACAGAGCAAGATCTGTCTCAAAAAAAAAAGTAGTCCAATTCTAGTCCGATTCATAGGGACAGAAAGTAGCATGGCAGTTCCAGGAGCTGGGAGGAGGGGACAGGATGCTTGTGTTTAATGGGTACAGAGTTTCAGGTTTGCAAGGTGACATTTTACAGAGGTTTGGTGGTGACAGCTGTACAACAATGTGACTGTACTTCATGCCACAAAACCGTACAATTGAAATGGTTAATTAGCTAAATTTTATGTTACGTATATTTTGCTGCAATTAAAAAATTTTAAGTGAGGCATCTATGAGGACAAGTGAGAAAATATTCAAGATATAATGATAATAAAATCAAGAGCAAGAACGGTCTATAAGGTCTGTTTCCTTCTGCTGAAATATATTAAATGTTCAACAGAAGATCCCAGGATAGGAAAGACGTGAAATTCTAGACTGGATCATCAGGTACGATGGATTTACAAAAAAGGTGGTCAAGGCTCTGCCTC